AATCCGATGCAATCACACAAGAGTCTTTATTGCAAGCTGGAGCCTGGACTCACAACCGTTTCCAAAGCAGTGGTCCCAGGGAGTGAGTCCCGGTCCTTTGTTGAGTGAGATTTTATAGGTTTGGGGGGATACTCTACTTGTCACAATATCACACAGCAAATCATTCCACAACACGGAAAAATCAAACAACTCTGAACATTGATTAGCACTTTCACTGGCGGGAACAAGTTGGGTAGGGGTGATTGGTTAGTACAAGAGGGGGATTCGTTTGAACTGATTAATCCGTAAGGGGTGTACATGCTAAACTACATAGTTTCATAACATGTTATCGATCACCGAGACTACTGGGGGGGGCGGTCATCTGGCATCCCAGGTATTTTCCCTGTCTCATGATGATTGGTGGTTGCTAGGGGGTTGCTATGAGTCCTCACCTAGCCTAACTGAGTCAGGGACACCTGGCGCTGCAGATCTCTTCCATTATTTGTAGACAAACAACTCAGCAGGGTGGCTATGTGCCTAGGAATATTCTGTGGGTTTTTCCAATGACAAGGGTCAGTCACGCCCCTCCCTCTGGACAGGCTTTGAGGTAGAAGCTGGTTTCTCAAAAATGGAGTCACATCAACAGCAGTTCAACAGCACATACAATCAGGGAAGGAACCAACAATGAAATATTTTTAAAATTTTTTTTGTAGTTGTAGATGGACAGAATGCCTTTATTTTGTTTGTTTATTTTTATGGGGTGCTGAGGATGGAAGCCAGTGCCTCATACATGCTAGGCAAGCACTCTGCTGCTGAGCTACAGCCCCAGCACAACAATAGAATATTGTTCACGTCAGATGGGCTAGGATAAAAGAGACTGAAAAGCTCATAATCAAAGGTTTATGCACACAGGGTTTATCCAGATATTATCTCTGTTCTTCATAGTGTCATTCAACATGGCTTATTCTTTCTCTCACCACCCCCTTTCCCATGCACAAAAATCTATTGTTTTGTAGTAATATTTTTTGATCACGAAGTCTTTTGTTTTTTGGTTGTTTTTTTTTTTTTTCATGTTTCTTTCATGGGCTGTTAGCAATTTGACAATATATTCTATATTCTTTGACCTACGAATTCTGGGAATTTATATCTAGATGTGAAATAGTATATTATATGCAAGATTGTTCTTGCATATCCTTGTAAATATTAGTGAAAAACTGGGTAAAGTTCTAGGAATAGAGAATATGTTAAAGAGAATATGGCAGACAGATATACACATATGTCACACACACATACGTATATTTACCATGTAAAGAACTATGCAGTAATTAGTAGCCATTTGTGTTAGCAAGCTTGAGTAGTTGTAACCAATACACCTGACAAAAACTGCTTAGAGGGGCTAGAGATGTGGCTCAAGCGGTAGCGCGCTCGCCTGGCATGCGTGCGGCCCAGGTTAGATCCTTAGCACCACATACAAACAAAGATGTTGTGTCCACCGAGAACTAAAACTCTCTTTCTCTCTTTAAAAAAAACAGCTTAGATGTGAAAAGTTTATTTTGGCTCACAGTTTAATCAGTTCAGTTCACAGTCAGCTGACAGCATTGCTCTGGGCCAGGGGTAAAGCAGAACATCATGGCAGAAGGGAGTGGCAGAGGAAAGCTGCTCAGTTCAGGACAGCCAGGAAGCAAAGAGCAGAGTCTTACTTTTTAAAGAGAAAAACTAATGTTACAATTTATCCCATATTGATGATTACAGCGCCAAGACAGAGTGGATGAATACATCAAATTTTTTCCTCCATTTAACTAGGTGAAGGTTGACTAAATTTGTTGATGGAGGGTGAAACTTGGTAACAACACATCTTTGCATTTTTGTATCTTCCTCCATGGCTACTGTGAGCATCTTGAGTCCTGAAGTACACTGTGAGCTCGGAAGTGATGTGAACTGCAACATTCTTGAAGCTTCCAAATCTTAATCTGACACCTCTTGTTAAGGCAAAGGCAGGGAGCCTTCTATTAAATGCTATCTTCACTGTTAAGTACTATGTAAAAATAAACTCTACTCCCAAGCATTGATTGAAACTGTTTGTACTGTGATCCCTTTTCTAAGCACAAGTTTCCTGAGAGAAAGGAGAGACACTACCAATTGCTGCCATGACCCCAGGGCAGTTTACCCAATGTCCTGACAAAAGAGGCCAAGTAACCTCATTCTTACCCATTTGTCACTATGCACAAGTTTTTTTGTTTGGCTGGTTTTGTTTTTTGGGGTACTGGGGATTGAACACAGGGGAATTTTACTACTGAACTACAACCCCAACATTTTTTATTTTTTATTATGGGATAGGTCTCCCTTAAGTTGCTTAGAGCCTTGCTAAGTCACTGAGGCTGGCCTCAAACTTGGGATCCTCTTGTTTCAGCCTTCAGAGTTATATGACAGGTGAGTACCAACAAGCCTAGCAAGGGGTTTATTTTGTTGTGTTGTGGTGCTTGGGATTGAAGGGCCTGTGCTAGATAAGAGTTCTCTACCACTCAGTTATATCCCCCCAGCTCTAAGGTACATTAATCTCAGACCAAGTATTGATCTGATAATGGTTATAATCCCAAGAAATCATTCAGTTTTAACACATTGAGTTCCTGTAAGAACAAGTGGGAAATCATTGTAAAGCAGAGTAATGGCTCATCATTTAAATGAGAGAAAAACATCAGGAAGAAGAAAATATGGACTGGGTTGTAGCTCAGTGTAGAGCACTTGCCTGGTATGCATAAGGCATTGGTTTGATCCCCAACACAGTTTGAAAATTTAAAAAGAAGGTAGAAATGAAACTCCTTTCTAAACTCATCAAATTGGTGGCTATTTTCACAGCTTTAATTGACAATGTTCACAGTTCTCAATTTTCTGGTTTGAGGAATACATTTTCAAGGTGGTTATCAAGGTGAAGAAGAGGTTTCAGGTTTTTCTCTACTATCCCCAGGAACTTCAGTCCTTCAATAGGTATCTCTATTAGCTTTTCACTACTATAATAAAAATACCTGAGGAAGGCTTACTTTATAAAGAAGTTTATTTAGCTAAGTTTGGAGGATAAAAGTCCCAATAGCATGTTCTTGCAGGGGCTTCTCTTGGTTGCATCACGTCATGGTGAAGTACATGTGTAACTGTGTACGTGGTCTTTCTCCCACTCCTTAGGGTTCCACCCTAAGGCCCTAATTTAATTTAATAACTTCCCAAGGGCCCACCTCTAAATGCCACAGTCAGATTAAGTTTTCCCCCTTTTAATTCCACTAACAAGCCTTTGGAGGATTAAACTTCATGGATTTGGGAGAACAAACTGTATTCAAACTATAGTATCTTGCATGGTTGTGCATGCCTGTAATTCGAGTGGGTGGGAGGCTGAGGCAGGAGGATCACAGGTTTAAAGCCAGCCTCAGCAACTTAGAGGGTCTATAAGTAACTTAGTGAAATCCTTTTTAAAATAAAAAATAAAAGGGCTGGGGATGTGGCTCCGTGGTTAAGTGCCCTTAAATTCAGTCCCAACTACCAAAAACAAAACAAAACAAAAAACCCCAAACCACAGCAATCTTCTCCTTTACTGATTCTGAATATACTGCTAGGAGCACTTGGTGAGTTTAAGTTCACTCTCCTGGTTGAAAAACTTCTTGGCAAACTGAAGAAGGACGAAGCATTGCTGGTCTTCCAGCTTGATGATGATGTAAGCCTTCCCACACCACTCCTGGTCAAGCGGCAGTGTGACATTCCGACATTATCATTGTTACCCAACTCTAATCTTATATTGCCTAGGTGACCTAGTTGAATTTCTACACACCGCCCTGCCCCCAACCCTGATTATCTTTGAGGAAGGGATGCCTGAAGGCCAGAAGTTCCTTTTCAGGTGAGCCAGCTGAAACTTGGATGGACCTAAAATGACTGCCAGAGTGATTGCCAGACAACATCTAACTTCATTTTCATCCCATGTCCATGCTAAGTGACACCCCATGACAGTTGCCACGAGGAAGAACCATAAAAAGAGGAGACACCAGAATTGAGAGAAAACCTCCACCCAAAGAATATATGAATAGTCTTTCCCTTTATTAACCTATACTTCCCCCTTCATTTCTTTACATGTAACTATAATTTACCAATCCTCCAGGATTGAGAATGATTTTCAAGTCCATTTTCCCACCCCCACTATTCTTGGCCAGGAAGAAAAGTCTCCTTAGCTGTTCAATCAGCGCTGAATCTTGTTATTGGGTCCACAATTCCAAAAAGGAAGCAGTTCCCAATTTGGGGTAAAAATCTGCTAATAGCAACCATTGACTTTGTTTTGCTTTGTTTTGTTTTGTTTCTAATTCTCGTCCGTTCTTTTGATACATAGCTAGGTTAAATGCACGTCTTCAAAACCCAAAGGTCAAATTCCAAGCAGGGTAGTTATAATCGCCAAAGAGATGGTGACATTTGAGTAGTTGGAGGGGGTGGAGGAAGGTATTGCCGGCAAAGGGAACAGCCAGGACACTATTATAAATAACTGTGATAATATCCTGTGACACACAGTAACCATGAACAAGTGTTGGTGCCACTGCTATGGTAATTCTTCCAAGAAGTTTTGATTCTGGAGAACTTTTAGGTTCAGTGAGACTTTCTTGGCCTTAAAGTAGGATAAAGAAGCTGCTGTATTTCGTGTTTACAGCTTTGCGGGACGGATGTCGCCAAAAGGTTGAGCTCTGTTGCCTAAAGGGCTCCGGCAAGAGTGTGGGCGCAATCCCTATCCCTGGGCGGACCCTAATCTTCTTGACTCAGTGTCCAATCAGTATAAAAGTACAAATTCCATAAGAAATCAGAATAGAAGTCTGATTTCCTCCCTCACTGAGGACACTACGAAGATTAAACCTCCTCGCCCAGCGCAGCCCTGCAGGCTCGGGGTGTGTCCAGCTGACTTTCGCCCCGCCTCTCGGAGGCACCTACTCTGCGATTGGCCAAGCGTCAGGACGGGTCCAGACGCGATTGGTAGACACCACTGCCACGTCCAGGAGCGCCACGTGTACGTAACGACCGGCCGGAAGTACCCGGATAGAGGCGACGCGGCAGGGCTGTGCAGCGGTGGTGGCGGCGATGGAGCGGGAAGGGGAACAGCTGTCCGCGCGGCCGGCCCTGGAGACTGAGGGGCTGCGCTTCTTGCACGTCACAGGTGAGTTGCCGCGGGCTGTGGTTAAGTGGGGCGCGAGTATCACCTCTTCGGCGCGCCGCCATGTTCGGTGGGTGGTCCCCGGCTCTGAGCTGAGGGCCCGGGCCTAGAGGCCTGACTCGCAGTCGGGCGTTAACCTCGCATTCAGGCCCTGGGCTGCGGCCTGGACCTCGCGCAGATGCCTTCTCTAGAGCCCCCCCATCTTTGGGTGGCGCCCGCGGGTCTTGTTTGCTGTAGTCCTGTACTGCAGTCCTTTCTGTCACTCGACCCTTAACGTTTCTTTCTAGACCCCCCTCCCCTCACCTTCGCCCGTACACACACCCCGTGCTGTCACTGCTTTATGTGTGATTTTGTAGTTCTGAAAGACCTTTGCCAGCTCGGATCGGATAAGCTACCCCTCAATCTCCAGAACCCATTGCTGTGCCCTCCACCGGCCATACTCCCTAGATGGTTGAGCCGACTCCCTTAATTGTTGCGCTTCTCGCTCTTTTTGTTGTAAGAGGGCGTTTTTTCAGCTAAACCGAGAAGGTTTTTAGGGCAGGAGCCAATTTTTCTTTATTGAGATTTATGGAAGTATCATTTTTAGTATCTTATTTTTCCTTTTCAGTGGGCTCCCTGCTGGCCACCTATGGCTGGTACATCCTATTCAGCTGCATCCTTCTCTACGTGGTCTTTCAGAAGCTCTCCGCCAGACTAAGGGCCTTGAGGCAGAGACAGCTGGACCAAGCTGAGGCTGCTGTGGGTTAGTGTCTGATATAACCGAAAAGAAGACAGTGACTTGAAACGAAGACAGTGGCTTGACACCTACTTTTTGTACTATTATTTAAAAGTCCCTATTTAAGGGTAACAATACATATGCTTCTTTATGTATGGGAAGGGGTACTTTGCCTCTAAAGTTGATTTTGGTGTATGTGTAATTCTGTTTTTGATTCAGAGATTATTTTTTAGTGTCAATTTTCAAATTGTCTTAAACTTTGACAGTAGAAATGAAGATAATCTGGAATTTTTTTTTTTTTTGCAAGGGGGGAGTGGTGACACTGGGGGATTGAAACCAGGGTCTCAAACATGCTAGATAAGCACTCATGTGGTGCCTAGGATTGAACCCAGGGCCTCCCATGTGCTAGGTGAGCCCTCTACCACTGAGCCACAACCCTAACACTGTCTACTTCTAAGCTACATCCCAGCCCTGTTTCAGAGATTTTAATGAGATTGGAAAATTCAACCTGTCTGCCTGATGATGTGTAGTGTGCTCACTGCATATCTTATTAAATGATTATTAATTTTAGGAAGGATTAAAATGAAAACAGTTTCTTGGTACATATGGATCTGTCCACTGAGTTTTATCACAAGAACCTTTGTGAGTGATCACAAACAGCCTTAACTCTTCATAGATAATTCATCATAATTTTTCACTAAATTCTCAGATCTGATTTTTAATTGCATTAGTTGTATAAAAAAAATTCCATCTCAAAGTAATCTTTTCACTGGTTAAAGGCTACACTGGCATGTAGTCTTAGCTCCTCAGGAGACTGAGGCAGGAGGGTTACTTGAGCCCAAGTGTTTGAGGCCAGCCTTGGCAACATGTCAACACCCCAGCTCCAGAGCAAACACATATCTTCATGCATCTGAGTCACTACAGTACTGAGTTAGGGTGGAAAGCTTTATTTTACAAATTAGATAAAAACATAAACTGGCACTTGTTAATATTCTTAAGGCTAGTTGGGAGGATTTTTCTTTTCTGTAGAAATGAGGATAAAATTCCTATGAATCTTTACCTTTTTTTGATATAGGTGTGGGCTAATTAAGTGATTGGTAAAGATTCAGAAAACTGGCTGTGCTTGATGTCTCACACCTGGAAATCCCAGTGACTTTGGGAGACAGGCAAAAAGATTGCAGGTTTGAGGCTAGTGCCAGCAACTTAACAAAACCCTAATTAAAAAAATAGAAAGGACTGAGGATGTGGCTCAGGGTAAAGTACCTGTGGGTTCAGTCCCTAGTACCAAAAATAAGGGTGGGAGGGAAGATTCAGAAAACTTTCTTTAACTTTTGGAGTTCTGGTCAACCTAAAGATTGGGTGTGAGTGAGGTATTCAATTTATATAATGAAATCTCACTGTGAATCTCATATTACTCATATTTCATTCACAGGCCCACTGTATACCAGACTTCCTGAATTAACATTATTGTAGGGAATACAGATATCTGCATTTATTTTTTGAAAGAGCCAAGTGAGACCCTAACTCAAACAACAACAACAAAAAAAAAAACCACAAAGCAGTACTGAGATTGGAGCTGTTGCTGTTTTAGGAAACAAAGCTTACTGTGTTACCCAGGTTGGTTTTGAACTGAACTTAAGGGATCCTCCCACCTCAAATCTCCCAAGTACAGAGATTTGTTTCTGATAATTTAGGGCTGAAGAACTATGGCTAAGGCATTGTCACCTGTTCCCTTAAGCAGTCAGATATATGTGCAGAAGTGGGTAGGATTTCTCACATAAGAATTTTTTTGTTGTGTTGAGCTGGGGATATAGCTCAGTTGGTAGAGTGCTTGCCCTGGCATGCACAAGGCCCTGGGTTCTGATCCCCAGCACCATCAAAAAAATAAAATAAAATTGTTGTTGTTGTATAACATTGTACATCTATACTTACAGACACTGAGAAATTTCTATTTTATATTGTATAAGATGCCTTATCTCACATTTTTTTCCTGATATTTTAGAACCTGATGTTGTTGTTAAACGACAAGAGGCTTTAGCAGCTGCTCGTTTAAGAATGCAAGAAGAACTGAATGCACAAGTTGAAAAGCATAAGGAAAAACTAAGACAGGTATAAACTGGTTTTATTTAGTAAGTTTTTTTTATTATTATTATTTGCTGTTCTGGGGATTAAATCTAGGGTCTGGAGCTTGTCAAGTGAGTGCTCTACCTCTGAGCTGAATCTAATATGAATGGTTTTACTTTGAAAATGTAGTCTTAAAAAATGGTGTGAAGCTTAGTGGGTAAGAGTGACTTAATTATATGTTCTTATTTGTAAATTGTTAGAACAGGGTCCTATCCTGTGAAATTCAACAGATGTTTTAAGGCCTACCATGTAAATATTGGTGATATGAGAAAATAATTCTGTTGTTAGGGAAGGATAAATGTGGATGTATTATTGTAATGCAAAGTACAGCGCTTAAGAGGGACAGACTGGAGGCAAGATGTGTGTATAAGTACCTGTGCCTGTTGGGAGTAGTAGGAGCAGAAGGGCTTCCACTTATTTTTTTGTTGGTCAGCATGCATTTTCATTCTGTTAAGTGGGAAATACTCATGTGTCTAGGTCTTGAGTCACAGACACACAGAAAACACTTTTAGCTTTGTTTTAAGCTGTGTTGCACATGAGGTAGCATGAGGGAAGAGCACTCTTCAGTGAATTGAAGGAGAATGAGGGGAAGGCAGCTGAGGGGCCCAGCCAACAGTGGTGCTAATAAGAGATGGAAAACAGGGGCAAGGGCTGGGGCTGGGCTGGGGCTCAGCGGTGGAGCACATGCCTTGCACGTGTGAGGCGCTGAGCTTGTTTCTTAGCATCACATAAAAATAAATAAATAAAATAAAGATATTATGTCCAACTACTACTTAAAAAAAAAAATTGAGAGAGAGAGATGGAAAACAGGAGATGGTGTTTTGAAAGTTTTTTTTTTTGGTACCAGAGATTAAACTCGGGTGCTTTACCACTGAGCTATATCCCCATCCCCCACCCCCTTTTTTTTTGAAACAGGGTCTCATTAAATTTCTAAAGCTGGCTTTGAACTTGTGATCCTCCTGCCTCAGCTTTCTGACTGCTGGAATTTCTGGCTTGTGCTACCACACCCGTGTTTTAAAAGATTTTTAAGGCATGGGATTTGGTTGAAAGAGAAGGTGGAAGGTGAGGTGGGGAGGAAGAACTGAGGATTGCCTTCAGCAGTCAGGTGGAATGCAGTGGTATGATCACTCACCAGCTTTGTCCTCATCTATGCCACTAAAATGACCTTTGTCATCTAATTTTAGTCCAGAAGTTTCTGGGCCTCCTTATCCCCTCAAAATGATGCCTCTGCCAGCAACTTTTAAGGTTGTATTATTGGTCTCGCTTACATCTATCCCTTGTTCCAGAGAAAGGTGTCTTTCTGCAGTCACTGACAGCTGTTCTTATTTCTCATGGTCATCTCCTTGTGGTTTGTCTGCCTCACTTGGCTGGGACCACTTCCATACACTCCCCTTCTTGATCACCTGTCCCAACAGCCTTTTGTGTGTGTGGTGCTGGGGATTGAATCCAGGGCCTTGTGCATGTGATGCACTGTACCAACTGAGCTATATCCACAGCCCTCCAACAGCCTTTTCTTTTCTTTTTCCCCTGTACTGGGAATTGAACCCAGGGCCTTGCTCATGTTAGGCAAGTACTCTGTACTGAACTATATTCCCAGCCTTATATTGAGACAGGGTCTAAGTTTCTTTAAGACTAAGTTTCTTAGGCTGGCATTGAACACTCTGCCCTTCTAACTCAGTCTCCTGATAAGATGCAATTATAGACAATCCCCTCTGTGCCCAGCTCCAACAGCCTTTTTTAGTGTCCATGACAGTTGATCAGCTATCTTCCCTTTAGTTGTCAACCTAAAGTGTACATTATTTACTTAACTTTTTTAATTAGAAAAAGTTGTGGGGCTGGGTTTTATCCTCAGCACCACATAAAAATAAACAAATAAAACAACAATAACAAAAAAAAGTTGAAATGTAAAAATCTATACCATGGAAACTAAATTTTTATATTTCCCCACTCCCTCAACTTTCCACTGCACAAGCATCCCATACAATGTTAAGTTTCTGGGGCATTTTTTTCCAGAAATATTTGATCTATATATAAACACATGTATGGGCTGGGATTGTGGCTCAGTGGTAGAGCACTTGCTTAGCACAGGCAGGACCCAGGTTCGATCCTCAGCACCACATAAAAATAAAGGCATTGTGTTGTATCCATCTACACCTAAAAAATAAATATTAAAAACAAAATAAACACATGTATTTTTTATTTTTTTTGGTACTGGGGATTAAACTCAGGGGCACTCAACCACTGAGCCACATCCCCAGCCCTATTTTGTATTTTACTTAGAGACAAGATCTTACTGAGTTGCTTAGCAGCTCATTTTTGCTGAGGCTGGCTTTGAACTTGTGATCCTCCTCTGTCAGCCTCCTGAGCTATTGGGATTACAGGCAAGTGCCACCGCACTCTGCAATGGGCTCCTTTTTTTTTTAAATTTTGATGGACACAACATTTTTATTTGTATGTTGCCGCAGTCTGGCTGGGCACAATCAGGAGCCACTTGTCAAAAGAAACTAACTTTATTTTTAGAACCACACACGCCAAACAAAACAGCCTCTCAGGAAAAACCCTCAGAGCCTCAACTGCCACCACGGGCTTTCCACAAGCCTCTCTCTCCCAGACAAGCTTCTCTCCACCTCCCACAATCCTTCTGCTCTTGAGGCCGATTGGCTGGGTCACGTGGGCGGAGCCAAAAGGGTCCCCCAATGAGCAGCTCCGTGGTCTGAAAGGGCAGGGAAACAGCCCAATGAGCATCACCGCAGAGGAGCCAATCAGCTAGATGTTGCTGGGGCCGCTGTGAGCCAATCATCAGCCGGCAGCTGGAAGTTTGCTGGGGCCCCTTCGGCTGTGCCTCTCAACATCTCCCCCTCTCTGTTTAAACAACAAGCATGTGGCTTAGGGACCGTGTCTGTTAGGCAGTCCAATTCAACATATGGTCCTTACCCGTCATCGGATGAACTGACCTCTAGGCGTCAGCCTCCTGTCTTAGGTTGGTACCACTGCAATTGGATCATACCCGTCACTGACTACCGGTCCAGCATACAGCTATACTTGTGGATAGGCCTTTGCACCAGTGGGGGGGTGAGGTTCTTTGCCTCACCTCTGTTGGCCCCCAAATTTTAGACCATCACTAGTAGAGGAGGATGCAAAATGCCATGACATTAAGCCAATTGAGGGCTCCTTTGAAAAATTGTACCACCGGTGACATCATCAGCAAAAATACCCCAACACTACCACAAGTTGCTGCACCAACAGATAGTTCACAATGCATACAGGTGAGCTCACAATGTGTCCAGGCAAGTTCTGCAAGCAGTTCAGTGATGGCTATTGTAGAAGCTGTAGATTGGTTTTATCTTTGACTTCACCAGCACTGGGATGAAGATAGGAATTCTGGCAATAATGGCTAAAGAAAAAATTATGTAACATTCCAGAAGGCACTAAAAGAAAACAATTTTCTTAACAATTTACATTGTCTTCACCGGCACTGGGATGAAGATAGGAATTCTGGCAATAATGGCTAAAGAAAAAATTATGTAACATTACAGAAGGCACTAAAAGAAAACAATTTTCTTAACAATTTACATTATCTTTAAGAGAATTATTAAATATAATGAAAAGGAAAGGTGAAAGTAAACAAACAGATCTGTTAACCTTCTTTTTTGTTTACATATTAAAACAATCCTCAACAGTTGTTTACCCAATTTAAATTAAACCATATAAATCACGTGGAAAAAAAAATATTTGGATCCATTTTATCATGAGCGCTCACCCTATATGATATATGGACATACATACATTCAAACATGTAACACAAAACACAAGTGTGCACACATAATAGAATACATACAACACATAACATTAGAGTAAAGGCCTTATAACTTTTTACAGGTGAAATCTCCATTGCAATGTTTAAAAACTCTATAGTCAAAAAATAGAACTGATCAGCAAAACATTAACCTAGGTCTGTATGAGCTCAAAAAACAAAATAGAACTTCATGATATGGCAAAGGGCAATAATAAAATAGATATTGAAAAAAGCATCCTGGTTCTGTTGCAGATGTAAGAATAGCCAAACTGGAGTTTTGGATATCAGTTGTTATGGATTTGAGCCAAATCATCTTTTTGGTCTGTAGAAATCGCTTTAGTTAATCTTTCTGGAATCCAAATCGGCTGCTGTTCTCCCTGTGGAAACACATAAACAGACCCCCGACTCCAGACAATCACTGGGTCAGGACCTTGGTTAATCTCTCTGGAATCCAAATTGGCTGCTGTTCTCCCTGTGGAAACACACAAACAGACCCCCGACTCCAGACAATTACTGGGTCAGGACCTTTCCTTTGTCCTGTTAGAATATCCTTCCAAAGTACCTTGGGCTTATGTACATTTTTTGGACACATATGCCTTTCCGCAGCACTAAGTCCTGATGAATCCAAATTTAAAAAGTTTAGAGTAAAAAGGGTTATTTTAAGTTTATCTTTGGGGAATATATACCCCTTCCCAATTCCTTCTTTTTGCTTTAATAAGTACATTTTAATAGTTTGATGAGCTCTTTCAACTATGCCTTGTCCCTGTGGATTGTATGGGATTCCTGTTATATGAGTAATGCCAAATGTTGAGCAAAATTGTTTAAAAGAGGTAGAAGTATAACCAGGGGCATTATCTGTTTTTAACTGTTTTGGAACACCCACAGTGGCAAAATTTTGTAAGCAATGAGCTATAACATCTTTAGTTTTTTTCTCCGGCATGAAGGGAGCCCATCAAAAATCCAGAAGAAGTATCAACTGTAACATGCAAATATTTTAATTTTCCAAATTCTGGCAAGTGTGTGACGTCCATCTGCCAAATATGGTTAGGTATCAATCCTCTAGGATTGACTCCAAGATTAACTTGTGGTAGAAAGGTCACACAATTTTGACATTGTTTTATTATTTGTCTAGCTTGTTCCTTAGTTATTTTAAAACGCTTTTGTAAAGTATTAGCATTGACATGGAACTTTTTATGAAAATTTATAGCTTCTTCTAGTGTAGAGAAAATATGTATGTCATGTGTAGTTTTATCTGCTAAATCGTTGCCCAAACTAAGGGCTCCAGGCAATCCTGTATGTGCCCTGATATGTCCTATAAAGAATGGATCTTTTCTGTCCCAGATTAGACTTTGTATAATGGAAAGCAAAGAGAAAACAGTAGAAGAAGGGGAAATCCTACCAGCATCTTCAAGAGATACTATAGCATTAACTACATACTGACTATCAGAAAATAAATTAAATACAGAATCTTTAAACATCACAAAAGCTTGTAAAACTGCATTAAGCTCTACCTTTTGAGCTGATTGTTTGGGTACTAAAAATGTAAAAGTTTGATCAGGGGTAACTACTGCTGCTGTACCATTATTTGACCCATCAGTGAATATATTTGGAGCATTCATGATAGGTGTTTTTCTTGTCATTTTTGGAAAAATTACAGGATGCAATGACCAAAAAGACAATAAAGGATTAGATGGTAAGTGGTTATCAAATGAAACATTAGATTTGCACATGATTATTGCCCAAGTATTAACTCATTAGCTAACTCATCAATTTGATTCATAGTATATGGAGTAATAATTTTATTGGGAAAAATTCCAAACACTCCCTTTGCTGCTTTTATTCCTTTGAGTATTAATTGTCCTACAGCCTCAGGATACCTAGTAAGAATAGTGTTAGGAGAATAAGATAAATGTATCCATAATAATGGACCTTCTTGCCAAAATACTCCTGTAGGAATATTTTTTGTTGGTAGTACAATAAATAATAAAGGCAAACTTATATCAATTCTATCCAAATGCATATTTTCCATATATGTTTCAATGATTTTTAATGCCTTTCTTCAGGCGTTAACATTCGGGGTGAATTTGGATCTGATGGACCTTTTAGGATATCAAATAAAGGTCCCAACTCTCCTGTTGGTATACCTAAATAAGGCCTTATCCAATTTATGTCTCCTAATAACTTTTGAAAGTCATTAAGTGATTTGAGTTGATCTACTCGTATTTGAATTTTTGGTGGATGGACCATGGTTGAGGATAATAAAACTCCTAAATAATTAATTGGAAAATTTAATTGTACTTTATCTATTGCTATCTCTAGATTATAATTTTTTAATAAGTTTGTAAGTGTGGCATAACATTCTAGCAATGTGTTTTTATCTTTGTGTGCTAATAATACATCATCCATATAGTGAAATATTTGTAGTTCAGGATTTTGATTTCTAAGTGGCTGGATTACTTTGTTAACATAAATTTGACACATAGTTGGGCTGTTAGCCATCCCTTGAGGGAGTACTTTCCATTCATATCTCTGATCAGGACCTTCATGATTCAGTGCAGGGATAGTAAATGCAAAACGTGGACTATCCTCAGGATGAATTGGAATTGAAAAAAAACAATCTTTAATATCTATAACTAAAACATACCAGGTTTTTGGCAAAGCAGACAACTGAGGAATCCCTGATTGAGCAGGTCCCATAATAACCATCTCATTATTAATGGCTCTTAAATCTTGCAATAATCTCCATTTACCAGATTTCTTTTTGATGACAAAAATGGGAGTATTATGGGGAGATACAGAAGGTTGTATATGTCCTTCTGCTAATTGTTGTTTGACCAGGTCATGGGCTGCTTGTATCTTTTCTTTAGTCAGGGGCCACTGAGGAACCCATACTGGTCTTTCTGATTTCCAAGTAATTTTTATTGTCTCAGTGGCCCTTTCTGAAAATCCAACCCATGTCTGTCTGTTCCTTGATCTATTTGTATTGGTGCTGCTATACCTTGTTCTTGTTTTTCTAATCTTTTTCCTTTCCTAAAACCTTGTCTAGTCATAATAGTGGGTGCATTTTTGTTGATGTTATTTGTTAATGTCAAACCTAATTGATCTAGGACATCTCGTCCCCATAAATTTATAGGAAGATGATCCAATACATATGGCTGTATAGTTCCTTCACATCCTTCAGGATCCTTCCAATCTAATACCATTGCACTTCTATGGGGATTAGTTGCCACTCCTAGTATGTGGTGCTGAGGATTGAACCCAGGCCGCACGCATGCCAGGCGAGCCCGCTACCGCTTGAGCCACATCCCCAGTCCCTGGGCTCCTTTTTATTGAAATGGAAGCATGTCATTTTGAACACTCCCTCCCCCCCAGTTTATAACCATTAATTCTGTGTTTGTGTGTGTATTATCCTGAGAATGGAATTTAGGGTTCTGCATATACTAGGCAAGTACCCTATCACTGAGCTATACCCCCAGCCCAAACCATTAATTATTATTGTTTTGTTTCTAAGAGCTGTACAATAAGTTGTATTTCTTCTGTGCACCAGAATTCAGTGATTTCAGGGTCTTAGTTTGTGTATTGTAACAGTTCTATCATTCAGTTTGCTAATATAACTGAAAAATCTTTTTTTCCCCTTTGGAATCAAGGATTGAACCTAAGGGCACTTGACTACTGATTCACATCTCCAGGCCATTTATCTATCTTTTTATTTAAATTTTGAGATAGGGTCTTACTGGGTTGCTTACACCCTTGCCAAATTGCTGAGTCTGGCTTTGAAGCTTCACTTTTCCTGCCTAAGTCTTCTACAGCTGCTAGGATTACAGGCATGCACCACCATACATGGCTGAAAAATCTTTTAAAAGACAACTTTAAAATTGTAATGAAAGCCTCCTAAAATTGCAAGAGGGACAAAAAGTCTGTCCGTATTCAAGTGTCTAAATTCTATGGCATATGTAATTCTGATTGGATCTGTGCCTTATGGTTACTATGAGATTTCTTGTGTATAAGGTCAGAATTTGACTTCTATGGTTTCATTTAGATGTTCTCAATCACTCACTGAAGTATTAAAGAACTTTCATGTTTAGAGGTGATTGGTTTCTTGACCTTTTTTACTTGAGGACAGTGGAAGTATGATGTAATAGATGTTCGGGTGTAGCAGTGATAAATCTTGTATTCTATGGAGAAACTTGCTGGGTGCCCGCTTTTTAAGACATCTGTTCACAAATCCTTGTGACGTCAGTTATGTAGAACCAGAATGAATTACGTTTCTGTCTGGATTCCATTGGAAATGAGAAATTTTAAGTACTGTTGGTATACGTGTCAGTTGTAGTTCTTGGTTGCTGGAAGAGATGGTATTTGTTAAGGAATAGAGAACAGAGGCAAAGGTCTTTCCTATGATCCTCACAGCCTCAGGCAGAGGGTTTTAGTGACTTCCCTGGGCGGCACAGCCAGATGACAGCCAGGTGATGACAAAAGGAGGCTTGCTTGCCACCTTTTCCAAGTCAAAATAGTTCCACATTCTAAAAATGTCCTATTAAGTGCAAGTTTCAGAAGACATCAGTCATTGCTCTTTTTTCCCATGACACATTGCTTTTTTTTTTAATAGTGTAAAAAGCAATCAGGCCTAGTGGCATATACTTATAATTTCAACAGCTCAGGATGTTGAGGAAGGAGGATCACAAGTTCAAAGCCAGCCTCAGCAACTTAATGAGGTCCTAAGCAACTTAGCAAGACCATGTCTCAAAGTAAAAAAGGACTGGAGATATGGCTCAGTGGTTGAGTGCTCCTGGGTTCAATCCCTGCTACCAAAAAAAAAAAAAAGTACAGAAAAGCAAGAGTTAAACTCACACAACTAGATCACAACAGCTTTTTTAACTGAAGAAAATAATGGGTGCCGGTTTGTTTTGAAAAACATTTAAATTAATAATTATGAAAATAAATATTTTCCTTGAAAGGGTGGCACTTATGAGTACCTTCTTATGTGATTCTGTTTCTCAGCTTGAAGAAGAGAAAAGGAGACAGAAGATTGAAATGTGGGACAACATGCAGGAAGGCAAGAGTTACAAAAGAAATGCGAGAAACCCTCAGGTAACTATAGATTGGCCTGCCATTTTCTAATAGATAAAGATTTGTTAAGTAGAATGTTAAATTTTTTTCTTTGTGATTCTGGGGATTGAACCCAAGGTCTTATGCATGCTAGCCAAGCACTCTACCATTGAGCTACAGCCCCAGCCCCAAGTAGAAGTTTTTTTTTGTTTTTTGCTTTTTTTTTAAGTTTTCGGCAGACACAACATCTTTGTTTGTATGTGGTGCTGAGGATCGAGCCCCGGCCGCACGCATGCCAGGCGAGCGCGCTACCGCTTGAGCCACATCCCCAGCCCCAAAGTAGAAGGTTTTAAGTAATTCTTAAGCCTATGTGTGTTCAAATAGGAGGAAGAGAGTCCTGGGCCTTCTACTTCATCTGTCATCCCAAAACGGAAATCTGACAAAAAGCCTTTGCGGGGAGGTGGTAAGCACCAATGTCAAACGTTTATTTTTCAACACTTACAGGATGTACTTAACCTTTTAAAAGTAGATTCTATTTCTTTTGTCTCAATGTCCATAAATTGACACTAATTTCTAAGCTTAGGGTTATGAAGATTAAATAAAGGAAACAGAAAATGCCACATAGGTCCTAAGTAATTAGAATTATGCTTGGGATCAGTATTCTCACTTGATCCCTCTGCAGCTCTATAAGAAAAGAGGTAAGCAGGATGGGGAACATTCTGCCCACCTGGCAAATGACTGTCAAGGGATTAAAACATAGTGGTTAAGTCTTATAGTAAGGTTTTCCTTATTTCTTTCTCATAAGTAACTTTTTCTCAAAAAAATGTGAACAGATGTTTGTTCAGAGCTTTTTTTCTGTGTGAAGAAAACTGGGACACTCTAGGTAATACCATAGCAGTCTGTCTTATTGTGTCTTAGAGAAACTTCAGATATACTTAGGAAAATGGAACTCATACCGAAATGGAAATCAATAGTCTTCTGTGATTCCAGCTAGGAGTTCCCAGTTAATTCTGAGCAAGAATAAAGATAAGATATGAGAACACCATGTAGGTACCAGTTCTAGGTTAAAGACATCCATGGGGGAAGAAGGACACAACAGGGGCCTGCTTGGCATCTTTGAGGACCAGGGAGGAGACAAGGATGTGGACTCTAGGCAGCATGGCAACAAACTTGGCAAAAGGCTGCCCTCTAATCCCCTCTGTGTCAGGAACCCAAAGCCAACTTGGTAGAATGGTGCAGCTGAGTAGAAAATGCTATTTTATAACTTTCCATTGCTGGAAGCCTTAAAAAAAAAAAAAAAAAAACATATACATATATATATATATATATATATATATATATATATATATATATTTATTATAGATGGGCACGATACCTTTATTTGTTTCTTTTTTTTAATGTGATACTGAGAATCAAACTCAGTGCCTCATATATGCTAGGCAAGTGCTCTACCACTGAGCCACATCTCCAGAGTTCCTAGTGGTGATATTTAGGAGAAGAATAGGAATTGTAGAAAATGTAATACATGACATGGCCCATTTTGGTATCCAGCATTTCTGAATCTAGGGCCTTTGCCCAGCCTGGTTTTACAAAGAAGGAAATAGGCATGGGGATTTATTGCCCAAAGATTCCACAGTAAGTAAGGAACAAAACCAGCTCATTCATTGTTTGGTTAACTCTGGGACCTGAGCACTCAACCTAGTCATCAGTTGATGGCTAACTTTGGGAAGCTAGTGGGGGAGGGAGAGAGGGAGAAATGATGTAGGCAACCCAGTTCTGACTCATAGACGTTCCATTATAGAACTTCTGCCAAGTTCCAACTGGCAAATTTCATTATGTATTTATCTATCTATCTATCTATGGTACTAGGAATTGAACCCAGGAATGCCACCAAAAAGCTATATTCTCAGCCCTTATTTTTATTTTGAATTTGAAGCAGGGCCTCATTAAGTTGCTGAGGCTGGCCTCAAACTTGCAGTCCACCTTCCTGAGCCTCCCAAGTGTCTGAGATGAGAGGTTCATTCCACCATTCTGGCTTAAATTTATTGTCTTTTATTCATTTATTTTTTTATTTTTAATGTGCTTAGGATTTGAACCCAGTGCCTCATACGTGCCAGACAAGTGCTACCACTGAGCTACAACCCCAGCCTTTTAAATTTATTTTCTATAGCTTGAACTGCTCTTGAATATATACTTTTTATTAAGCACTGCAGTTGAAGCCTTCGTATAATTCATATACTCAAAGTCAGACTATCCTAAAGGATGGGGTGGGTTGTTGTGGCTTTTTTTTTTTTTTGGCCCATATGTTTTGGGGAATTAGAATAAAGACTGAATGCTTCTTTTTCCCCTTGCAAAAAGTCAATTCAACTTGCAATCACAGTGTAGAACATTTTTTAATATGGTAGTTAAAAGTTTTTGTTTTTGTTTGGTACTGGGGATTGAACTCAGGGGTACTCAACCACTGAGCCACATCCCCAGCCTTACTTTGTATTTTATTTAGAGACAGGGTCTCACTGAGTTGCTTAGTGCCTTGTCATTGCTGAGGCTGGCTTTGAATTCTCAATCCTTCTGAATCAGCCTACAGAGCCGCTGGGATTATAGGCATGTTCCACTACACCCAGCTTGGTTAAAAGTTTTTTGAAAATATCCATGAGAATACAATTTATACCTTTGCATGTGAGGCTTACATTTGTATTTTTGATATAAAGTATTCCCAGATTTTCAGCCATCTAGTGTTCTGCTTCTGTTCTCTCATTCCAGGTTATAATCCTTTGACTGGAGAAGGAGGTGGAACCTGTTCCTGGAGACCTGGACGCAGAGGCCCATCATCTGGTGGATGAAACTAAGATTCTTGTTAGTGTCACTTTTGACATTAGCAAGATCATCCCTTAGCCCTTGATTCGATTGCCTTACGCACACTTTTCACAGTGACTAGCCCAGGGGAGGTGTGGTTTATTTCTTTTCTTAACTACACCTGCGTGTTTAAGGGTTTTAGTCAGCATGGGATATAGACATTGCCAGTAGGTAACGCTCCACTGAAAGTCAGTCATTGCAGTTGTTGATTTCATGATTCATTACTAGCTGGTAGATAGAAGGCCTCTAGCTAAATAGCAATCTTGGTAAAAGAGGCCCAGCAATGATCTTTTATGTTGGAAGTCCTTCCTAATTAAGGACAGTCTCTGTGACAGGTTGCGTTGAATGATGTCTTCCTTATAAATGGTGAGCCCACCAGTGAGGATTACTGATGCAGATGGTTGATGGGGTTTGTTTCTGTATATTTATTTTTATGTACAGAACTTTGTAAAAAATGAAATTGTAAATATTTAAAACAAAGAATGACATTTTTAGCATATTTATTAAATTTAAGGAAATTTCTTTATGTGCTTGAATTTGTCCATTAGACATTAAGCAGCTTTTTAACATTCAGACTCCAAATGTTTGTACTTAACGTCTTCACTTACTATTTCTTACCAGAAATGAGAATCACAAATGGCAGACAGCAACAGTAGTTTTGAAAGTTGGCAGATTCTATTGGGCTCATCTACAATATCAGGATCTTGTAGTTTAGTTACTGAATTAATAGGATGAAGAAACATCTTGATTCAAGATAACTTGTAGGCTGACCAGGTTCCTAAAAGCCCTACGAGTCATTCCCAATTTGCCATGACTTATTGATTATGTTCATTTATTTATTTATTTTTATTTGCAGATGGACAAAGTACCTCCATTTCATTTATTTATTTTTATGTGGCACTGAGGATTGAACCCAGTACCTCATACGTGCGAGGCAAGCACTCTGCCACTGAGCCACAATCCCAGCCCTTGATTATGTTCTGTGAGAGCCCTTATCAGGAATTTTCTAAAAGAACCAGATAGTTGTAAATAGTTTAGACTTCACTGACTACATAGGGTCTCCATTACATAGTTATTGGGTTTTATGGTTAAGTTTCTTTTTTTTTTTAATATTCATAGCTCATGGACTAGATTTGGTCTACATGCTATAGGTTATGGACCACCCCTACTGTAGAGGTTATCATGAGAAGGAACAAAATTAAACTTTAGGCCTGAGTGTGGTGGTGCATGCTTATAATCCCTATGAATCTGGAAGCCAAGGCAGGAGGCTTGTAAATTCAAGGTCAGCTTCAGTAATTTAGCAAGACCTTATCTCTAAGAAAGGACTGGGGATAAAGAACAGTGGCAAAACACCCCTAAATTCAGTCCCCATTGTCCCCCCTCCCCCAAATTTAAACTTCAGAATAGTGCTAATTCAGAAAAGTATTCTGAAATGGTCTCATAAATTAGTCAACATTTGGGTTGGGGTTGTAGTTCAGTGGTAGAGTATTTGCTGAGCATGTGTGACGCACTGGGTTTGATGATCAGCACTACATAAAAACAAATAAAAAATAAAGGTTAAATTCTTAAAAATAAATAGTCAACATTTATTGAGTATCTGATGCAGGTAGAATATTCTGATTGTCTATCCTGGCATATAAAGGAAAAAAGTCTGGTCACACAGTACTTAAAATGTCTTAGGAAGTGCTACAGGGAAGAGTTGAGGAAAGCAAAACAGGGTATGTAAAAATCAGTTACTAACAAAGAAGTTTCCATGAAAACCAAGACAGTTCGGAGAGATCTGAGTTCCAATTATACATTTTAAAAGTAGAGCAATATAGGCCAGGGTTTTGTGCATAGCAGAATCAGCTCTCTGGCTGCAATGTAGTGAAAGTTAGCTCTTGACACACAGTTTGTAATAAATAGGAACAAGCTACATAGAAATAGGAGTTACAGAGGGAATAGAAGGGTGTGTTTTTTCTTCCTTCGTAAATTATGAAGTCATAAGCATGTAGGAAGAAGCAGTGCTTGAATTTTGAATGTCCTCCTTGCATCTGGCTCTTCTAGTAATGGTAGTGGAGGGTTGGTATCATAGGAAGAAGAAGTAATAAGCAGATATGGATATTATCTGTATATAGTAATATTATTTACTGGGGTACTATTTATATGTGGTAGTATGTGAAGAGCATTTACCATGTGGTAGTTACATACCTATATATTTAGTCGTCCTCACTACAGTCCTGTGAAGTAGGTGCTGTTAATAAGTTTGATTTTCAGAAGCTGAAACTTCGAGGGGTTATGTAAGTAATCCAAGGTCCCTAATCATTGAAGTTCACTTTGTGCCTGTATTCCTGCCTACCAAGGGCCTTAGGTAGTCAAGATGTGGGGAGCTTAAGCTAGTAAATGAAACAATTACATATGGAAGTTGTGTTACAAGACTAGTTCAGTCAGTGTTTCAAAGGATTGGTCAGAGAACATAGGTCTTACTGAATGTGGTGACACACACTGTAATCCCAATGATAAGGGGGACTGAGGCAGGAGGATAACCAGCTCAAGACCAGCCTCAGCAATTTAGTGAGGACTTAAGCAACTTGAGAGTCCCTGTGTCAAAATAAAAAGGACTTCGGTGGTAAAGCACCTCAGGGTTCTATCCCCACTACTAAAAATAAAGCCCCCCCCCCCCCAACCACCAGCTCTCCAGAAAAAAACAAGGAATTGGGGGTAAAAGTGCAAGGGCCAAAACCTGAGACCTCTGGCAAAAGACAAGACTGGGCCAGTGCCATGAAAACGGTTTCAAACTCAAGACTCTATTCTCTGCCATGTCCATCTGCAGAGAAACTATAGCTGAGATGGAAACACATTCTAGCACAGAATTTGGAACTAAAGTGGTAGACATTTGGGAGCTCTTAATTATTTGTGGGATTTTGGGGTGAGAGGGGCAATAGGGACACTGCTAAGGCCTTATTTTCACATGACCATGTGCCCCACATGGAAGTAGACAGAGGACTGCTACAAACACTGAACACTAGATCCCCCTAGTTTGTGATTATTGTAGGCTGAATGGTTATGCTACCCCTACCCGTTTATGTTATGTTGAAATCCTGAATTCCCAAGGCACTGAGGCATGGCATTTGAGCTGTGATCAGCTTGTGATGGTGGAACCCTCATGAATGGGAATTGATGCCCCTATAAGAGACTGCAGAGCTATTTGCCATGTGAGGAGGGTGAGGAGAAAGTTGGCTGTCTGCAACCCGGAAGAGTGTCTCACTGCGCCAGCACCTTGATCTTGGGCTTCCTGTGTCTAGAACTGTGAGAAGCTGTTTTATAAGCCACCCTGCTCATGGCACCTCCTTGCAGCAGCTAAGACAGTTATTATTTCATCTCTGCATTACTTCCTAACATTTCCAATTCCTACATTCCATGAAAGTGCAATCTGTGGCTACCGAATCCACGTTGTTAGGACCTCCTAAATCAGACAACTATTTTTTTGGTACTGGGGAATGAACCCAGAGATACTTTACCACTGAGCTAAATCCCAAGCCCCTTTTTTATTTTAAGAATGGCTATGTTGGGCTGGGGGTATAGCTTAGTTGGTAGAGTGCTTGCCTCACATGCAAAAGGCCCTGGGTTTAACCCTAGCACCACAATAAATTTAAAAAAAAAAAAAAAAAGCTACATTGTGGCCTCGCTTAGTTGCTGAAGCTGGCCTCAAACTTGTGATTGTCCTGATCCTCAGTTTCCTGAGCCACTGGGATTGCAGGCATTTGTCACCATACCCAGTGTCATTCATTTCTGTCACCATGCAATGTTTGCCATCACCCAGTATTGTTCCCCAGCAAACTACAAGGCTTGCAGGGCAGGGCAGGACCTGTGCTTACGCTGTTTACAGCATCTCCAGGCCTGCTTGAGTCTTATTTTCTACAGCACATCTCTTCTGCCACTGTAGTTTTCTGAGATGGAGCATTTGAATTGGGTTATGATACAATGACATTTCATCTCAAGCCATGAATGTCTACCTGTGTAATCTCTCTTTTTTTTTTTTTACCACCAATATGGTTTTATTTTTGTCATTGTCAACATGTACAGCATTGGAATTGTATCATTTTATTTTATTTCTTAAATATTACTGGAATATGCATTAAAAAGATACTAATACATTTAAAGCCAGCAGCAGTGACACACACCTAATCCCAACTATCTGGGAGGCTGAGGCAAGAAGATCACAAGTTCAAGGTCAGCCTGAACAATATCACCAGACCCAATCTCAAATAAATATATATAAATAAAGAGTTGGGGATGTGATTTAGTGGAATGCACCAGGGTTCAATCCCCAGTATCACCAAAAAACATTTAAGAAATATGACACATTAAGAAGGCCTCTGTAAACATAATCCTTTCTCAATATTTTTTCCTATTCTGCTTCATACGTAAATAACCTATAAAATCATACATAAAACTATCAACTCTTATGGCCTAGAACTGCATACACATTTTGGAGTTTGAGAATAAATGTTCTCTTTGATTTATAGATAACATGCAGTATTTGTAGTGTTTAGTTTCATTCAAATGCTTATCACAAATTCTTATTGTCTCCCAACTTGTTCTGCTAATAGACCTTTTCAGTTTACTGGTAAAGATGCCATGAATTAAAAGTCATAATGGTCAAATAAATATTAGAAAAAAGCAGAGAAAGTGGCTACCTAATATCACTAAATCTTATTAAAACCACTTCAGCTTGTATGAACAACAAAAAACATTAGTGAAGAATGAATACCATTCACTTAAAAGGTAACTAACAAAATCTAAAATTTAGTCAACAATGAAATTAAATCCATGCAAAAAAAATTCCACTGAGATTCTGTTACAGAAACAGAACCAATAACATCCTAATTTTCTAAAATTTATTTTTGAATTATCATTTTGATGAGTTAAAACTTTAAGGGTAAATAATGACACAAAATGATTTTAGAAAGGCAAACTTATAATTCCTGATATACATTTCATTAGTTTTTATTTAATGACTAGAAATCCTTATTCCTTCAGAAAATATTACATATTCATTGAAACACACCACTTATCTAGTGATTTATTGTATATCTTCATCATATTTATTAGATAAGAATTCCAATTACTTTTATGTAATAAAAGTAAAAAGGAATTTTGCATGTTGGCTGTGTTTCACTTTATACATTATTTTTAGGCCTTTATAGGTTATAAAACTTAGAAAAACATTCCCAACTAATATTCTTATTCGATGTAAATGACTCAAACTACAAACAATACTAAGCTAAGCACTGTTATTTTAAAATCTAAGTTTCTAGAAGTTTTATTTTTCAGTCAATACAAAATGATCTAGTTCACACTATTAACTGCCCAAAACTGTTTAAAAAACTAAATATTCTTTGTTAAAGAGAAGATTACAAGAAATGTTTTCTATGTTCTCATTTTAAAAAACAAGATTCTGGTATACATGGGGAATTTAAATACAAACTCTTACATGGTGGCTAAAATCTTGTCAACTTTCAGCCTGATACAACATAATT